AGTGGAAGAAAAAAGTATTGTCTATCTCTTGTCCACAACTAACTGCGCCCGTGGCCAGGGTAGGTCTGTTTATATGGTTGGGATAGTATGCTGGACGTTACCCAGTATAGTCCTGTATGCTTAAATAAAAAATAATTTGTTTATTCTTACTCAAAGTTATATTTAGGATTTAAATCTTATTTAAGTTGTTACCWAATTAATTTAATGATAAATAAATAATATTCCTTATTCCAATTAAAAAAAAAAAATTAGAGTGGGGCTATTTTATCTACCATCACTCACATGCACTACTGTCTAAAATAAAGATTAATTACTAATTAGCTACTAGTTAATTATTTAATCAATTTCACTTGCAGAAAATAAGCCGTAAATTGCATTTGTCCAAATCAAAAAACTCAAAATTCAATGAATCTGGTCAGCTGATTGTATTCAATGCAGTTTCTATGATTTGGGCGTTAGACATTGTTGTAAAGTAAGTATTTTATAAGGATTATTTCATAATTTAAAATGGATTATTCATTTACATTGTTTTCCAAATTATTTTGAGTATAAAATATTATTTAATATATAAAATTATTTAKATATTTTTTAACAATATTCTATATCTTTTCCAGAGGAAATTGGTTGGCTGATTTTTCATCATTATGGATTGGATATCCATACCACACTTTATCGTTCTCAACAAAATTCTTTTACATAATTCAATTTGCTTACTGGGCACATATTATGCCAGAACTGTATTTCCAAAAAATTAAAAAAGAAGATATGTTTAGCAGAGTTAAATATTCTGTACTATACTTGACATTTATCTCGGCTATATACATAACTAAGTAATTTTTAAAAATTGTTTTTTGTAAACAAAAAAATATTTAATTAATTAAAATTTGGTTTTATGTTTCAGTTTCCACCGTATTGGTGTTGTATTACTTTTGTTGAATTATATTTGTGGATTTACTAAACATGCCGTTAAACTGATTGACATCACTGAGAAAGAAGAAGATAGCAAAAAAGTTCAATGTGAGTTATTTTGGATCTATGAGTATTAAAAAATTGTTTWATTTATATCCATGTTTTTATTAGTGGCCCAAAATGTGTACAACTGGTTGTTTTATACTGTACAATCGCTGACATTAATCCTATCTCAAACGATGCTATGGTTCGGTCTTAAAAGTGTGCAGTTCAGTGGAGAATTGCGTGATTTCAACACTCCCGTGTTTAAATTAATATGTTCGATCAGTGCATTAGCTGCACAAGCTTGGCTTCTTCATGAATTCTTGAATGATCAAAATTCCAATGGTCTCAATTTATCTGCCTCATTTGGATTAATCAAGCCCAAACCAAAAACAAAAACTGATGGTTCTAACAAAAAACGCAAGAATACAGGTACGTTTATCGAGAAAAATAACTGATAGCATAATATAGTATTGTATTTAATAATTTTTTCAGTGTCTCGGAAGTTTAATGAATTGACTGAAGCTGATCAGAACACTAAAAAAACATTAAAACATGAAGCAAAAAAAGCAGCAAAAATCACTAAGAGTGTAAAATAGTTTTTGAAGAACATGTTGTTTGTAAACTGGTGCAATATTTTATTTATTTTACATTGCATTGTATTAGAAATATGTATGTGGCATTTACATAAAGCGAATAATAATTATATTGTATAATATTATCTTCCTACATATGCTATAGATGATAAGTACTATTTATTTTATATTCAAAATTTTATTGCAAATTATTATGATCATTAATGTTTATTTTTATGTTATGTATAATATATTATAAGATTTTTAATCTTAAAATGTTGTGAATTATTATTCTTTGTTCTCTATTCATAGTCAATTTTTAATACTGTAATTGTTATTTTTTTCAATCTTACCAAACAATTGAATGCTAAATACTCTATRATTAAATATTATTTTATTTTTAATGAAAATATATTACATTTTTTTTTTTTGTATCAACAAAACTTTATTTATTTTATAATTAAGTGACATAGACTAATTAAGTAATATTGAAACTAATTAAAAATCTATTTTTTCCTCCATGAGAAATTATTATTAAAAAATTTACGAATGTAAATTAATTCATCAAGTTTATCAAATGTATATAAATTTTATGGGACGGGTACAGTTTTCCCGATTTTGATAACAACTGATAACATCGAACCTGATAAGAACGAAAAAAAAAGGCTCTTGCCAACYTATAAAAGTTAGCACAAATCCGAATTCCCGCATCGTTAACCAGCAATTATATAAAAAATAAAAATATCAGTTTAATACCAATAGTGATTTTTCGAAAAATTCATACCAAGAAATTTAG